TGGCGGAGGGGAAAAAAGCAAACCGCGTCTCTCCTCCCGCCGTCTCCCCAACAGGGCTGCCCCCGTTACTGAAAGGGTTCTGGATAACAGCCTGGCACAGGTGGAGTCAGGGGACAAGAGAGTCCAACACAAGTTTCACTATCGTCTCAGAGTCTGTGGCTTGATTTTTTCCAGTTATAATACAAAACAGTATAGTCGAAAGAATGTAAGTTTAATAAATCTCTGTTTATTAACATAATATTTTACTTTTCCTCTTCTAGTTATAGACATGGACACCTGGTCACGATGTGTAATGACCAATGAGGAGAAGGACAACAGGGCAAACAACACACTGCAACATATGGTTTGTGCAACTCCAAATTTTTCTAATTTTATTTAAGTGTAGACCAGGAACTGTGCAGGGAATTCAACTGGTGAAAGGCTTCTGTTTGTGAGCAAACACCACTGTGAATCAGACACAAATCACATCTTCACACCTGCTTCAATCTCACAGTGCTTGTGTGTTTACTCACCTGTGCCACAGCCTGAGGGGCTCCAGCAAATGCTGCAGCCGAGACGACACTGACGGCTCCATTCCCATCAGCTGCTGCTTCTAACTGATCGTCTGTTACCTGAACCACACGATAGGTCACCTGGGGACAGAGTGCAAGTGTTTCAAAAGAGGAGTTATCACACTGGACCTTCCTGGTTTTATTATCACTAATTTGTGATGATTTCTGTTTGGATTTCCATAATCTGCTATTTGTGTTTCACAATTTCCACATATATTTTAATAATAGACAGCTGACAAATTAAAGGAAAAGCCTGGATAGCTGAGTGGTCATGTAGAAAATGCTGTTGTTTTGCAGAGGGGAGGTTCTCAAACTCACCTGTCCTCCACTGTTCTCTGTACGAAACTGGTACTGCACGCTGTGGTCAGCAAACGCAGTCTGTGGGACACCGGTGATGGTCACTGCAGTCTGCTCCTCCGACCCCACCGCCTCTCCTACAACACACAAGTCACTGTTTTTCAAATCCATGATGTTGCACCCTAATATTAACACAGATGGATGTCTGTAGATGATGACCACAGACATCCACACATTTTGCTCAGGATTTATTTGTTTCACTTGACTGAACTATAAGAAATCTGGCTCCTACCTTCCTGTAGCTGCACTTCTTCTGTTTCCTGTTTGTGACTAAAAAGCAAAAGAGAACAGCAGCGAGTTAATTTCACACTGAATCCTAATTTCACACTGCGTAGAGCGAGCTCCCACAATGAGCTGTGGCTGCAGAGCGCCCCCAGGTGGTCACATGAAATGATGGATAAAGCATAAATAAAGTGAAGCGCAATTGACGTGCAAACGTGACAGAAATGTCTTCTACAACTTCCGAGAAGAAAATTATAATCACTTGACAATTGACAAGACTCAAGCCTACGTGATTCGATTAGCTACATGCGTAATGGTGAACTTTGCAAATAACTAATCCATGGCCCTTACAGTCTGGTTTAAGCATCTTAATCCTAAAAGAAATGCATTAAGCAGCTTACAGTAACCGCGTAGTGTAATTAGATGTTAAATGTTGACCTGAAAAGTGGGTTAAAATTGTCGCTGTGGATTTGCTTTTTATCTAGTAAATAAAACATAGCATCGTGATATTACAGATGCGCAAAGTGGCGCACAGTTTCTGCTGAAAATGTTTTTATAGGTGCTTAAACGCAACATCCCCTCCAGCTGCACAGTCACTGGTTTACTGGCAGGCACAACACGAAATATTGCAGAAATAATAAAAGTAGTTATCTGGAGCAGGGAGGTTTATTAACAGTGCACTGTGATATAAGCACTAAGGCTTTAGGCCGTGGGGCGAGCCATGTCTGAGCAGGAAGCGCCCAGGAGCCTCTCACCTCGCCGAACTGTCCAGACTCTGCTCCAGCATATCCATGAAGCCTCGGCGGGTGTAAAACACCGATATTCAACGACGTTGATTTACGGAGATGGAAGCGCTGATCACGGGGACAAACACACGGGTCATGTGAGAAAGACAGTCCAGGACACGTGAGGTAGCGACCGGGCGAGAAGCTAAAATGGAGGCCGCTGCTGAGCAGGACGAAGACGTCTGCGTCAGTGTGGGGAACAAAAACCAGCCCGAGTGTTGGCCCAGCTTTACGGTGGTGGTGCTGCTACGACCGGGGGGGTTCAGCTCCTTAACGTCTTTTTGATTAACTGCTGTATGCACGGATGGAAGATAGTTTCCTTTAATATGATCGGTTGGAAATGTTTTTGTCGTCGGTTTCCGTTTTATTGCTCTGCGCCGCACAGCTGCTGTTTATCCGCGCAAAGCTGCGGCTGCCACATGCACTCAATAAAATATGGAGTGGACTAGTTTGAGCGTTTTGTTTTGTAATGAAATGAATGTTTTCATGGTCATTTTTGCTTTGTCTGCAAAAGATTTCGAATATTGCAATCCAGCATCCACATGACACCTCGGGCGCAAAGAGTTTGGTGGATAGATGTGGGTTGTCCTGTATTTTTTACTCGGTTTATTTCTGTAGTAAAACTCTATTACGCACGGATGATCTGTAGCTTTTTCAGACGATTCATTTCCAGAAGATTACGATCAGTTGTACAGTATTTATGTAAGAGACACGCTGACAATATGCTTGTCAACGGCACTTTTTCAGGTTGTTTGCCCAGGTGACCACAAAGATCCAATACGGGTTTTCTCACAAACCACATGACAAAAACTGTCCATGTAGTGGCACAAACCAACGCACAGCGCCCGCACGCTTTTCACCATTCACAGTTTTGTCATGGTCCACAGGTAACACCAATGCTACTTCTAAACCCGAAGAAATACACGCATGTGATTTATTGGACCGAGTGAGAAAACAGATACACCGTAATGTTTCTGTGCAGACACAAGCTTTCCATCAAGTTCCGCCAGTGGGAGGCGATGTGGTGTCTGCAGCAGGCGCCGCGTCACGGTTAACAAAGTACTTTAACTTTATTATATTGCTTTGAATTAACATTTATCCTCAGTGAGGTTTGACATGGCAGTCACACTGTTGAGCTGCAAATCGCATGCAACAGCTCTATTCCATTTTAAAATGAATTGTCACCGTATTCGGTCGTTTTGAGCAAAATGGGAAAGAACAGTGACGTGCCCATCTGAAAATAGTAAATTAATAACTGACACAATGGTCAGAACAGCTTAATATTTCTAAAACAGAACAGAATAAAGTTATAGACAAGAACATAGCACATGTAAGCAGACATCTGCACATACTGTATAGGCTACACATGAAAAAAAGTTTCCTGGTGTCCCAAGATAAACCTGAGAGTGCCCAAAATCATCAAGAAAATTAAAGGGTTATGAGTTATTAAAGGTTTTGAGTAGGACTGACCTCTCTAAGCAATCAGAGAAACTGACTTACTTCTGCTTGATCAGTAAGTTTTGCATTCTCATTTATTTCATAGCAAATATCTGAAGAGCTGGGCAGAGCCTGGTGGAGGTTAGCAGGCCTTAGTAGAGCATAGTGGAGCAGGGAGAGGGAGCTCTGGGCGGAGCAGAATGGGCTGATGTGGAGCTTTATGCAAGTGCCACCTAAAGTCACACACTGCATTTTAAAGTCTTACAAAAGGTCTTAAGACTCCTGTTCTGTATTTTGGGGCTAAAACAATCTGAAATCTCTTATATTACTTGTACATTTTAACTTTATTGCAAAATATAGGGTTGAGCCAAATATTGTGAATGTCTAAGCTCAACTCAGCCAATAGATCTGCTTAAAATTATCCCTTGTACGTATCACATGGCATTGTGCATTTTTCTGAATAGAGGCTGACTCATTCAGTCAGACTGCACACCAAGTACAGTGACAGAGAGACGAAAGAGACAGAGAAAGAGAGAGAGAGGAACAACCACCTACAAAAGTGCCAAATTTGAGTCCAGCCTCCTTCCTCTCCTCTCCTCCCATCTCATTCTTTCCTACAGGGCACTCACAGATGAGTTTTCAGTCAGTAGGAGGCTGAACAGAATTGAAGGACAAAGACAGATACTCAGATCACAAGATAAAGAAAATTAGCAGAGAAGTCTACAGATTTCCTCAGCAGAGTTTTCTTTTCTTCTCACCAGCTATAAAAAGGTAAATATTTTTGTATAAAGTTGCCATCCTTTGTGCACAGGCATTACTTTGATTTTAGGGTGGAGTCGATGACCCCTCCCATGCTTTTTTTGACTCATTATGCTCTTCAGCTTTTGTGTGTGTGTGGTTTTTTTGCAATTACACTCAAAAGACTTTATCTGGGAATTATGTGTATTTTAAAGTCGCTACTATAATTTTTACCATTGTAAACTTGTCATGCTTCAATGGAAGTTCACAAATTCAGCTTTTTCTCCAAAGTAAAATCAGCTTTTAAAGATATGCATTTTTCCTTCATAATTTTCTGCATTTATTTAGATAATAACAGTGGTGGATGTTGAATGTATTTGTAGGCTGAACTGCACCGTTAACTTTCTTAATACAGTCCTAAATACACTTTGTACAGTACAGTGCCAATATTTGCATATATCAAAATAGAAATATTTAGTGCATATATTGTGCATTAAAAACACATTTTTTGAATAATTAAGTTGATCGTCATGTCTGTTTTTGATAAGATAGCAGAAAAGTGCCATGGCGACACCCAAAAACACTCCCCGAGGTGCAAACAACACACTATCACCCAACCGTATCACCCGGCTCCAGGAGAAGGAAGATTTGTGTAACCTCAACGATCGCCTGGCTGTCTACATCGACAAGGTCCGCTCCCTGGAGGCTGAAAATGCAGGCTTGCGTCTGCGCATTACTGAGTCGGAGACAGAGGTCACCCGGGAGCTGACGGGCCTGAAGGCTGCCTATGAGACCGAGCTGGCCGATGCCCGTCAGACCCTGGACTCTGTGGCTAAAGAACGAGCACGTCTTCAGCTGGAGCTAGGAAAGCTGAGAGAGGACCACAAGGAGCTAAAAGCTAGGTGGGTCATGGTGCACCACATGGGTCCACACTGGAATCTGACTGTATGCATGCATGTGTAGGGCGGTGCTACCAAAGAAAAAAAGTTATACTGAGTGGGGTTTGTCTTTTGGGGTGTCCCCCCATGTAGGGCCCTGAATTTCTTAAAAGCACCCCTGTGTGTTTGTGAAATATAGTGTATTCACAATTAAAGTGAGACTATATAAAAGATATGTCACAGCAGTGAAAAGCTGAGTTTATAAAAAGTAAAGCACACTTTTTCCTATGCTGTTACAGCCTCATGTTGTCTGCTATGACCAGAAGAACAGTGGCACAGTTGTTGAGTAACTGACATTACTGGGTCAGTTTGCTGTGACTCCTTTATACCTGCTCTACTGTTATGCTACAATTTAGCATCAACTATTATCCTATAGTTATCACTTGTGGCCACAGTGGCTGCTGTTCAAAGTAACAAGCTTTAAAGTCAAAATTACCAAACATTCTTGGAGGGTAACCAGATTACTGTATTTCTTCATCGGTTGTTATGGGAAAACATGTAACAGAGCAAAACTTGTGCAACAAGCAGTTTTGTCTCCAAAATTGTAGGGTTTTTGGTCAAAAATAAAACAAGACTGTCTGTTATATCAAAGTGAAAACATACAAGTGATCCAGATATTTGGTTTTTCTGACAGCCATCAGAGAAATCAGCTGTGCTGAGGTTTCTGAAATCCCTCCTTTCAACCAAATCTTTATAGATTTAAATGCATCTATTTGTTCATACATAGTGTTAATAAAACACCCCTGCATGTGATCCACAGCAGCAGAGCACAGTTACCCATGATCTCTTAATAACTGGTGATTGTATAAACATTTGCTGACAGTGTGTGAGCGCTGGCCTGCTGCTGGAGCCACTCCCTAGCTTAAGCACACCCTCCTCTTTGCTCTCTGCAGTTTGACGTTGGACTTCGAGTCTGTCTCCTTCCCATACTGCC